AACCCCTCGGAGAGATGAATCACTGAAAAGGGGCCAGGAACACCCAGCAGTGAATCACTCCATGTTGCACCTCTCTCTCTGATGTTATCCAAGTGCCAATACAGGCAGATAATGAGAGAAATCAGGCTCTGATCTTGGCAGCAACAGGCCAGATACGGAAGTCCCTTGTGGCTTCTTTGTTTCCAAGTGCAGATCTTCTGCAGCAGAGATGGGAATTGGCCCCATCTCCTCTCACAGTAAGCAGCAGTGAGGCAGAGCACACAGACAGCCATTTGATTAGCACTGAGTACCATCATCAGCTATTTCATCCCCCCCCCCCTCTCTGCTGGTAGGCTCCATTAGTGTCACCAGAAAGTGATGAATGTGTCTGACAAACCAAATACTAAAAATTTTCTCTCAGAGTCCAACACTCCAAAACCACCCACTAAATGTCAGCCTGCTGCCCTCCTTATCCTCAGGTGACCGAGACCCCTTCTTAACCTTGCAGAGGAAAACATCCCCTCTCCATTCCATTACTGACCCATCAGGGAGCATTAACGAAAGCATGCCAGCTGAAACAAAGGCAAAATGCATTGTTGGAATCCCAGAGAAGAGCAGTGATAGTGCTGAATCCCTCTTGCTGGCCTTTTCAGTCCCACAGAAGGTGCTGTTGGACAGGAAGGTAGTGTGTTAGCACAGAGACCTTCTTCAACATCAGTACCTGGATATCATTGTTTGCATTCTCCATAATGAATAGATATTCTCCCTCTTCTACTGTGGCTACAAAATGGGTTGTATTCACTCTCGAAGAAGGTTGCTCTACCTGAGGCAGCACTCTGTGTAGGTGAATATTCCTAAGGAGAGCTATCAAGGCTGTGATATCAGCAGTGACCAGATCAGCAAAATGAAGTGATAGGAGCGGGTAGGATGGGCTGAGCCCAGAGTTCAGCTACTCCAGACTTTACCGAGATGCCCCATGTATGCAGTAGGCCACTGTGTGAATACCTGACTACACACAAAGTTCTTGCTGAGACACCCAAGGCTGAGGTTTGTTTTGTTCCCTACAGCCATCCTAGAGGGTAAGGGAACAAATTCTACTTCAGTGCTAATGCAGATTCTATGGATGGAATCATAGAATGCCTTGGGGTGGATGAGATTCAAAGATCATCCAGTTCCAAGCCCCTGCTGCAAACAGGGTTGCCAACCAGCAAATGAGGCACCAGATCAGGATGTTCAGGGCCCATCCAACCTGGCCTTGAGCACATCCAGGGACGGGGCATTCACAACTTCCCTGGGCATCAGTGCCAGGGCCTCACTACCCTCTTAGTAAAAAAATTCCCCCTGAAATCTAACCTAAATCTCCCTTCTTTTAGTTTAAAACGATTCCCCCTTGTGCTATCACTATCAGGCCATGTAAAAAGTTCATTTCCCTCCTGTTTATAAGCTCCCTGGAAGGCTGCTGTCAGGTCTCCCCCCATTCATAGATTCACCTGGTAAATGAGCTCAGTAGTTTCTGTGCCCATTCCCTTTTCTGAAGAGAACTGATGATGCATATCCCTCTGCACCCCTTCCCACAACAGGGCCTTGCTGTCAACACGTACCCTAAGGTGAAGGCAATAAAGCGCCAGATGAGCAAGCAGAGCACCTGCAGCTGGGTAATAACCAGCAAGCCTGAGCTGGTGATGATGCTGTGTGCTGAACCCTGCTACAGCTCAGCCACCAGATGAATCAGAAGAGGGCAAGGGAGGGAGACAGCCAGGCAAATGCTCAGGTAGCACAGTGAAATGTTAATGTCCTATAATGAGGAGCCCTGGTGCCAGCTTCCATCACGAATTTGACAATCCCACTTTAACGAAAGCACTACAAACACGTCTCTGCCCTTTCAGCCAGCTGCAGTGAGCCAGGAAATGCTGGCCTGAGCAAATGGGAAGGAAGAGGAGGCTGAAAGGGGTCTCCGGGTTAGGAAAGAGAAGGATAATGAGTTACTGTGGCAGTGATCTAAAGGTACCTATCTAAGCAGGCCACATGCCATCAACTTTACAGCGTGCATTTCTCAGAACACCCTGCAGAGGTGGAGCAGAAACATTCCCAGAAGTTCAACATGCCCTACCTCTTTTCTTTTAATAAAAAAAATTGCAGGTACAAGAGAAATACCTCAGTAAACTAGGAAAAAAATCCTGTTGGAAATGAGAAACACACATCAACCTGCTTACTTATTCCTTCCATCCTACCTGGAGGGTATGCTGTACAAATGAACTCTCAATCACTTCAAAAATGGTCAGAAAGCCATTTCCTGTCACCCAAATATTTTCTGCTGCTTTCAGAAGTTCCTCCCTTCTTAAAGACTGAATTTGAACGTTAAAGGTTTGTTTTTAACCACACCATCCAAACCGTAATTTCAAAATTGCTGTAAACATTCAGGCATTGACTTCTGATCCTAACCAGAGCCCCGAAGAGATCCAGAATGTGAGAAGAGATTGCTCTCTGTTTCTAGCCATCCCTGTCCAGTGCAATAAATGTGATTTGAATGCAGCTACAGCCTACGTGGAACAAAGCTGTCCTCCTTCTCATCATTTTCGATCTCGTGTCGTTTTTGGAGGTGGAACATCCTCGTGTCCTGTTCATGGGGCAGCAACAGGATGAAAGCCAACGACATGAGTTACAAACAAGAGAATTCCAAGTAGGAATTTGGAAATCATTACATCACATAGCCAGTCAAATACTGAAACAGGGCCCAGAGAGGTTGATTTTCAGAACTCAACAAGGTGAGAAAGATGATCCAAGTTGGCTCTGCTTTTAGCACATGTTTGGACAGAAGACCTCTGGAAGTCCTTTTCAACCTTAATTATTCTATGATTTTTTCCATCACAGTCATGGTTAGTTACTGTGATAGTGGGGCTGGCAAGTGCTAACATTCAATAGTTACCAGAAAGACCATTCAGAAATCCCATAAAAATTGTTCAAGTCTTGAGCTGAAACAGGAGAAAATAGAAGTTCAAAGATCAAAGCCAAGAAGATTATTTATCTCCATGGATAGCGATAGGACAAGGGGGAATGGTTTTAACTAAGATGGGAGGTTTAGGAGGAAGCTTTTCCCCCAGAGGGTGGTGAGGCACTGGCACAGGCTGCCCAAGGAGGCTGTGGATGCCCCATCCCTGCAGGCATTCAAGGCCAGGCTGGATGTGGCTCTGGGCAGCCTGGACTGCTGGTTGGTGACCTGCACACAGCAGGGGGTTGGAACTGGATGAGCATTGTGGTCCTTTGCAACCCAGGCCATTCTGTGATTCTATGATTCACATAGACTGATAACAACATCTCAAATGAATAAAACAACCTTATGCTCCTCCCCTGACCTTTTCTTGCTGCCTTGGTACACTGCAAAGCATACACCTCCATCCTCTCTTTTACTTTCTCCAGAAGGGGGAATGCTCATGTGTATCTGATCAAGTTGTTCTATGATTTCATCCTCTAATAAGATTTGGATCAAATGTGGTTTTAATCAACAACAGAAAAATCCCAACAATGTCATAGCGTCCTTTTCTGTGATAGAAGGATCTTTATAAGCTGCTTCCTTAAAGAATCTCTTTCCATGCAACTTTTATGTCTTAAACTGACCTGTGGATGAAGAAAAGGCTGAAAACATTTAACCTTTGGCCTTTTCCATGCTTTCAGTACCAAGAAGAATCTTAACCTCAAAGATATGATGAAAGGTGCCAAATGGGCCTTCATTTCCATTCCCTCCCTACAGATCCAGACGAATGGCCTTTAACTTTCTGCATCACATGTGTGGGGAAAAAAAATATCAGACAAAGATCAATATGTGTTACTGCATACTCAGAAACATCCCCATTTTATCAGTAGGGCCAAATTCCAAGCCCCAGCAGAACACACAACTGATTTTATGGCTGCTCTTTCCCAATGCCCCCAGCATTGAAAAATTTCTTCGCAAGGAATTTAGTACAAAGCTCATCAGAAGCAGTGAGGACTTGGGGGGATCAATTACCTACATACAATTTCATCAGGGGACACACACACATCCCTCAGGTCCTTTCACACTAGAGGAAAGCCTGGCCAACAGCAAGGATTTAATTACCTCGAGGCCTTCGCTTAGGACTGATTTACTTCTGTTCACAGGATCCATTTTGTTCAAACCTGGTGCATCGATTGACTCAGTGAATAAGTAGAAACGTAACGCACTGAACACATTTGGTTCCTGCAGCTCTGCAGTGTCTCTGTAACTGCACTCGTGGTAAGAAAGAAACGGGGGCTGTGCTTCCTGCCAGACTAATTTCAGATTTAATAACAATTAAGTAGAGGAAGAACACAGAAATTTTTAATTTGGATCCAAGGCAGAAAATGACCTTCTTCATCAGCTTAAACTACGGCAAAGTATTCTGTGCATCAAAATTTACGTTCTCGTGCAACTTACTTGACATATTTTTAGGACTTGGATGTACCCACTTCTCCAAATAACATTCTTATGGCTTACTAATGCCATATTAACAAATTAGGTGATAATATTTGGTTCTCAAATTGCATATTTTGAGACACCCCTCACCTCCCCCTCCCCCCCTTTCCCTCTGTTTTTGTATTTCACAGAGCCAGGTGAATTCCTTTTTCATTCAGTACTTCTCTCACAATTACATTTCCCCAGAGGCAAAGGAAAGGCTCAGTGATCAACTTCAGGAACACTGAGCTAAGCAAGCTGACATATATAAATGGCACCAAGAACACAGGCTGCAGAGACCTTCACATTCACAGCAACAGAATGATGCTGCATTGCCTAAGCGTAAAATGCTCCTTTTATTCCCAGCCAGAAAGGAGAACTATTTCTTCCCTCCTCCTCTTGGGAGAATGAAAACAGATCAGAACCTCAGACCAATCCTTGCACTGGCTGGAACTCAAAAGGTAGACTTGGGAGGGGTTGGAGGAAGATATAAAGGCTGGTGGCTGGAGACACAGAGTGGCACAGAACCGAGTGACTCAAGGAGAGGAAGAATCAGAGACATCAAGACACGAAGATGAAACTTCTTTTTTGCCCTGGATTCTTCCTGCTGCTTATTGTCAGCCAGAAGCAGGCAATGGCCAACCCTATTTCCAGCTTGCAGGTAAGTGCTGCTCAATTGAATGGAAAGAAATTGATGCTCCTTTAGGATATAGGCGCTTCAGATTACCAATGTTTCTCCCAACCCCAGCTAAAGAAGTAGGAGGCTTTCAAAGAGAACACGACAGCAGAAATCCTGAAGTTAGGCAGGCAGAGTTATTTAATGGAGGGAAACTGAAGCAGCCAATTACTGGATTTACATTTCTGATCAGTTGAGGAAGCTGAAATGGAAACGTTTTTCCCATGGGGTCAGTTTGGAGATTTCAGATTTAGGGTCATTCTATGATTGAGTGAAGCAATAAACTTCTGGAGAAGGAATTTGCCTAGAAGGGCTCCTTCCTGTAGACTTAGAGCAGCCACCTGCATGGTCCTCCCTCAAGCCTCTAGTTAAAGCTGAACACTGAATTAATAGGTTGTGCCTGCACAACTGTGAAGAGGATTTTCTCCTCTGTGCAGTGCAATAATACAGTCCCTGCTCCTGAGCTCCAGAGGCAGAACTGGTAAATAAAACTAGAATCCTCTAGGTTAACTGAAAAAAATACCCATAACCCCTTCATTTTTCTCCTGTCCTCCTCCAACCTTTCCTTTTCTACTTTTTTCCCCCTGCTCAGAGTCTGTCCATGCTGTTAGATGAGGAGCTGGAGCATCCCCTGGTCTCAGAAGAGAGGGACCATGAGCAAGATGGCTCAATCCCAATAGGTGCCTTTGAGCAGGAAGATGCTGAGTTCCAGTGGACCCGAAACACCAGAGATCAGCCTGCAAGGACTTCCACTGCTGACAGTGCTGCCCAGAGGCTCCTCAGTGACCTCTTAGGCTTACCTCAGAGATATCCAAACAGAATCAAAAAGGGTCTGTCCAGGAGCTGTTTTGGGGTCAAGTTGGACAGAATTGGGTCGATGAGCGGACTGGGGTGCTAACTGCTTACTGTGGTAAGAGAGTCATGGACACGTGGGTTTTGTGTATAACTTGTATAAATACGTAGAAGAGCTCATTTAATTAACCTTTAAGAAAGGGTGCCTAGAGTAACTTTTATCCTCCTATTGAAAACACAGTTAATTAACTTCACTGACAGAATATATAATCAGCAGTATGCTTAAAACCCATGAAAACCACAGCTCTGCTTTACCTGCTTTTCACTCCTTTCTCCCAGTCAGATGTATGCACTTCATGTTGTCACAGATGCCAGATCAGGGAGGCTTTCACCAATTCCTTAGGGATTCTTCTGTCAGTACAAACTCTGGGGATGCAGCTGGCCCTAAAACAGAAAGCAGTCATCAATTTCCATGTGTGAAATCCTGTCCACATCTTTTTTTTTTTTTTTTAAACTTATTCTTTTGCTTTCTTGACAGGACTGACCTGGAGGGTTCAAAGGACCTGCTGCCTATCAGTGAGATATTAAGCTCTTATTTGCATTGGTTCCACCAACCCATCTACAGATGATGTACTGAACCTCTCCCCTAAATTGCTTAGGGGAGACAGAATAGGACACACCATAACTGTATGCTTATTTGTATCAGAGTAATTATTTGTGAGCATCTACCAGAAATGTAAGTACAAAAAACATTTGTACTGTTTATGTAATAAATGTATAAATGAACAGTTTCCATTATGTCATGGATAATAAACTTTTTTTTCCGTAACTGGGTGAATTTGTTTCAATCCTTTGCTGCAATTCCCTTTATGTACCATTCCTGAAGGGGATGCAGTGCTGCTGTTTGCAATTAGACATAACCCACTAGAATTCAAAAGCATATTAGAATCTGCTCTCTGGTATAGGTAAATTGGAGTAACCTTCCTGAAGTTAAAGATCTCATACACAAGACACCCAGCCTTTGGCCACTATTGTTTGAATTTAAAGGACAACTGTGTTAGCTAAGTTTCGGTTTTGCTCCTTCTAAATGCAATTCCTGTGGAAAGAAAAGAAGCCAGGATCTGCAGGAGAGCTATAAAGAGCCTTACTAAGAAAACTTGATTCTTCTCTCACACTGTTCTCGATATACAGCTTTCCCCCTCAAGCCACAGACTTGCTCTAGGAAGGACATGAATGCTACAAGCTCACAAGAACATATCATACAAGCACTTAAAAGCTGTCTATCAGATACAAGAAAGCACAGAATGATTTGCTAATGGAGATGGTCTCCCCTTGCCCAAGCTACCAGCAGCTCCTCTCTGTATTTTCTTCTGATCTCTCACCCTTTTAATACACCTTGCATATTTAGAAATTAGTTTAATTCTACCTGTCTGTGGCTATTTCAGCCTTCAGGATCTTCATCTCCTCAGACCACTAGTTGGGAGGTTATCAGCAATGGTGCCTCAAACCCTGAGCAGGAACTGTGAAACACATCCTGAAGGCCGCCCTACTTACCAGTCTCTATGAGGTCTTATGCTGTTTCCTACTTACTCTGCTTAAGTTAATTTGATAACAAATCAGCAGCAACAGCAAAAGCACCCTAAACATTCGCTTGCTGGCAAGGAATGGTCTCACCACTTCCACAGGCACCTCCAAGCCTCTCAAACAATGGAATAACCCACATAATTAATTATTTGTGCTGCCTTTCTTAAGCAAAGCAACAAGTTAATGAAGTACTTCATCAATAATGAAAAATTAGAGCAAGGAGGAAGGATAAGAGTACCTCCACTTGTCAGCAGCATTCACTTTGCACTAGACATGTAAAGCATGGTCTTAGTGCTATTGCTACAGCATGATGAGTGTAAGCAGCATTTCTAGATGGAGTCCCATTCATGGGCAAATCCTCCTAGAGTTCTACAGCCTGGTTGGACCACACATAAAACTCTCCTTTCTGTAGCTTCCATCATACAAACACCTCTCTCCTGTACATTCATTGCTTTAACTCAATATCCTTCAGAAAGAGAGCTTCTTTTCTCCCAGTAGAGAGAGTTACAACAAAAAGAAGCAGACCTTCACTCGTAGAAACCCCACAAGAAGCATCCAGCTCTCTTAAATAGATTCCCTCTTGGGCATGCTAGCCCTAGCGTGGCCCAGGTGCAGCCTAAATGATAGCAAGGTGAATCCACACAGCCTGTTGACAAGCAATGAAGGGCAAGTATGTTGTGACAGCTGGTGCCAATGGGAAGGTGGAGCATCCTTCCTAACGATGCTGGGTCTGACAGCCTCCCTGCAGTAACCCTAGGAGCAGGTGTGTTCTCATAGGCCTGAAAGCTTCCTGATGGTGGAATTTGAATGCTGAAAACACACTAAAAACATCAAAAAAAAAAAAAAAAAAAAAAAAAAAAGTGCTACTGGAATCTGTTTCCTAAACATCCTCAGCCTGTTTACAAACTCAGCTGTACTACTTTGAAATTATTTGTGGATAAAATAAAATAGGTCTGAAGAGGTTGAAGATTGAGCTGTTGTCAACAGAATCCTACAGCAGGTGAATAAGAAATTGCTAAGATCTTCAACTTCCCCAACACTGAGCTGTAACATGGCATCCTATCAGCTGGCATTTGGGGTGAACATTTTAAAAAGCCACTATTCATAAGGAAAGAACAATTTATTTCACATAAAAGGCCCCGTAATTAGGTCCCTAGGACTAAAGCCAGATGTGTCTGTACTTTAGGCAATTTGCTGAGTTCTATTAGCATTTAAACAATCAAAGCTAACCTTTGAAGTTAGCATGCCAGTCAGACGGGGAAGCTCAGCTCTAGCTGTGTCATTTCCATCCCCACTAAGAAGCAGTGCATGAATTTACCAGCCAGGGTTACAGGAGGAGCTGAGAAGAAAAGCTTGCAGTAAAATAACACCTACACACCATGAAACATACACATACCTTTCCCAAATGAGTCTTCTTTCAGGAAAGGAGGCACTGCTTGTTGTGATGTTTTAAACAAAACAGCTTGCCGACTGGTGGATGCAGAGATCATCATCCTACACCATCTGATATTGTTTGATTCCAGTCAAAGACAAATGATGTCAGCTGTAGGCAGGTCTGTGGGACAGAAAGACAAAAAAAAAGCAGGGAAAGGAATGTAAAAGCATAATGTGTGTTGCAATACAGTATGTGGCAGTAAAAGTCCACAAAAACTTAGTGTAAAACTCCCTGAACTCAGAGGAAAGGCATTATAGGATCATAGAATCATTAAGTTTGGAGAAGACCTATAAGATCATCCAGTCCAACCATCCACCCATCATTAATACTGCCACTGAACCGTGGCCCTAAGTACCACATCTCCATGTTTTTTGAATGTTCTTTGGCTTTGCTGAGCTAAAGGGCAGACCCTGAGACAACGGCCCAAGCAGAAATCACTGCAAATCTACTGAAATCAAAGAGATTCATGGATGTCCAAGCAGACTAAGAGTGCAGAAAGCAGAGACCCAGGCAGTGATTGAAAGGACCGTCTGCTGCTCTGCCCACTGGATTCACTAAGAATTTACCAGAGTCATCTTGATTTGATCCTTGGTACAGGAGGGTGCAGCGAATGCCCGAGGAATAACGGAATGGCTCAGGTTGGGAGGGACCTTAAAGACCATCCCATTCCAACCCCCAGGAAGGCAAGATGCATCATCTCAGGAATTTGTAAAATCTTCTCAAACCAAACCTCATTCTATTCCCAAAGAACAAAAATGTGAATGCAGAGAAGAAAAGGCTGTGTGGAGCTGCTGCAGGCAGGGAAAAATTCCAGCTCCTTCTTCTCCCTCCCAGCAATGAGAAATGATACATCCCTCATCCCTTGGAGAGGAAATCAACCCTCTTCTCGGGTAGCTGCTGTGCGCCTGTGGATGTGAAGCTGAGCAAACAGGCAGAAAGCACAAGGTCCTTCCCTGCATCACCTCCTCCCTAACAGTGATGGAGAGTGGAGGGAGGGAGGAAATCACCAGGAAAATGAGTGCTGCCAGGAGGGGAGGAGGTGACCTGGGGCAGTTCTCTCCCTCTGAAGGAGGTGTTGCACTCAGGGAACCCCCCTCTCCCAGAGGGTCACCTATGGGGCCAGTTGTAACCAGTTCCCTTATCGAGGCTGGGGGACAGAGCTCTGGCTCCTGTGGGGATCTGGAAGGAGGCAGCTGAGCTCCCTCTGGGCAGAGAGAGCAGGGATATAAGGAGAGGCTTCTGTGGGTAAAGCGAAAACACAGGGAGAGCTGGGGATAGGATAGGAAGAGAAATAGAGAGAGAAGGAGAGGATGCATCTGCTGGATCTTTGCTGCAAAGCCTCACTACTGCTGCTGTTTATGCCATGGGCTGGTGGTGAAAATGATGCGGAGCTGCAGTCCTTGCAGGTACTGGGGCTGGGACTCCTGGGGACATGAGGGCAAGAGCAGAGCTGCCCATCTGACGCTGCAGCTGCCACTTCTCACCTCTGCTTCCCCCTCCAGGAGCTCCTGGAGGCTTTGGAGCAGCTCCAGGAGGAGGAAGGGGCACCAGCCCTGGAAGATGAGCTGGGTGCTGGGGCTGAAGCTGGTGGCTCTGAGTGGGATCTCCAGGGGCTAGAAAGCAGCCCGGTGGGTGCCCTTCTGCCAGCTCTCAGCCCTCCCCAACCAGCGGAGGGACAGAGCCATTGGAGGAGCCTCCTCTCCTCCTTCGGACGGAGGCATTTCTCTGGCTGCTTTGGGACAAGGATGGAGAGGATCGGCGCGCAGTCGGGACTGGGATGCAATCACTACAAAGCCCGTAGGTCCCGGGTCAGATCCAGAACTCCCTGTGAAGTGGTGGGGACAGGGGCAGCTGGCTGCCAGCCTCAGAGTAGCTCCCCTACCCCTCCAGCTCTTTGCCCTTTATTTTTTTCAGGTTTCTGGAGAAGAAGGAGAAGCTGAAGCCAGGACTGGCTCACAAGCACTGGTCTTGTCCCTCTGCTGGACAGTCAGCCTCCCCCTGGAGCTTCTGGAATTTGGGGTATAGAACAATAAACCTTTTGTATGAAGCCTCTACTGCCTTTTGTGTTTTCTTTGGTCACAGAATAGCGCAGATATAGAACTCCTCCCCACCCCCTAAAGTCCTCCACTCTCTCTACCCTAAGGGCTTGGTCCTTGGCACTGGCCAGATCACCCTGCCAGGTCTGGAAGGCCGTGTAGCACCATTCCATGCCAGGGAGTCACCCCAGTAACTCTCCTTGCTGCGCTGGAGAGGCACCACAGCCAATTCCAGACCCATGGCAATGCGCTCAGATGCCTCCCACGAGCATTTCACTGCCCTGGCTGTGAATCCTCCCAGTAGGTGGGCAGAGGGTTAATTCCAAGTAGTGTGCTACACAAGCCCCGTCCCATGGGCTATGCCAAATTTGGCACGGCGGGCCGCCACGGAGTGGCACTGAAGACAGAAGAGCTGCATGGCTTTAAAAATACATTTGGCAGCAGCCGAAGGGCAGCCAGGCCTTCAGGACCGGGGACAGACGCCAGAAGCCCGCAGCGAGGAAAGCAGCCCCTGCAGGGACGCGTTGCACATCGTTACCTTTTCCTTTTGGTTCCCAAACTGATGGTCTTGAGCCTATTCTGTGCTGGTGAAATCTCACCTGGATCACCGTGTGAGGTCCTCAGTACAGGAGAGATGTGGACCTGTTGGAGTGCATCCAGAGGAAGGCCACAAAAATGATCCCAGGGATGGAAGGCCTCCCTGCAAATGGTGATGGGACAGGGGAAATGGTTTCCAATTAAAGGAGGGGAGATTTAGATTGGATAAAAGGAAGAAAGGTGATGAGGCACTGGTACAGATTGCCCAGAGTGGTGGAGGTGCCCCATCCCTGCAGACACCCAAGGCCAGGGAATGGGGTTCTGAGCACCTGATGGAGCTGTGGGTGTTCCTGCTCACTGCAGGGGTTTCATCTGATGGCTTTTAGTGTCCCTTCCAACTCAAACCATTCCATGATTCTATAACTCTTGATCTAATGGAACTGCAAGAAAAGAGAGCTTGGGTTGGAGTACGGCAGAGTTCTTCTGAAGGTTTTAGTCACCTCACCATGCTGCAGGGGTAGTGGTAGTGCTAACCACGGCTGAGCTCTGTCCATGTGCTATCCCTGCTCCTTTCAGGGATCCTCTCGAGATCCTCCTCCTCCTCAGCTCCTGTCCCATACTCCTAAAACTGGCCACAGTATGCATTTATAAGAACCTAGTGCTCTGTTTAGAATTCTAGTATTTACTGTACAAATAGTTAGCAGAGCATGGGTAACGCCTTGGTCTTGTCCCTTCACTGCTGGACTGTAAAGCCTATTAGCCTTGCAAGGGTGATGATACTGAGATACCCCAAGCAGACAAACAAGTGAGCTTAATAGCTGAGTTCTATCATTTTACACCCCCTTTGCTTTGGCAGAGCTGTCAGATGGATAACAGAGGACAGAATTTGTAAACATGATAGCTACCATGACGGCCAGTCAGTTCATCCCATCTGTATGCTTTCATATAGGCTATGTGAAATAGTGCACAGGCATATCCATGTTGGAAAAATTCTGTTGAGGCTACAGTTGGGCCCCTAGATCTCATCTATCTGCTGTGGAATGTGGAAGAATGAAAGTGAACTAATTAGTAAAAGAAAGGAGTAGCTCTTGGTCCAGGTTACTGAAGGCAGCCTTGGAATATTAGGTTGTTTTACACACATAGGCCACTCATAGCTAAATATTGCCTCATGACTGATACCACGTTCCTTCTTTCTCAGAGCTGGGTCTGTGACCTGGGGTTTGCTTTACAGATGTGCTGAGCTCTCAGGCAAAACTGACATGGAGCAACAGGGTTTTTTTTAGCACAGGGACAGCACTAGAGAATAGTTGGCGGGTGGGAGCAAAAGGAAAGAAAAAGAACAGTAACAGACCCTGATTACTTGAAACTGGACTCTCAGTATTAATGAATACCATTTATAATACTGATACTCATCCATTCTCAGCTTACAAAATGAAGATAAGTAAGAAAATACCTGCAATTATTTAGCAAACCATGTAGACATTGCAGCACGGAGTGTCAGTAACAAAGCTGTCAGGTTGGTAACTCTTTCTTTACCACAGAACAGGACTAAATAACAATGGGCTGGAACACATTAATACAGAACTGAGTACTGCTTTATGATACCATACAGATGAGCTGACTTCAAGCCATGCTGGGAAAAAAGCAGTATTTGGGCTCGACTTCACAACCTTGAGAATGCCCTTTCCTGTATAATTTTGGTAGGCAGGTCATGTGAACAGCGTGTTTGCATGTTTGTACACAAATACTGTGCTAAGACACAAAAAGATATTTTATTCTATTATTATTTAGAAGCTGTACCCTGGAGATTATTTCAAGAGCCACATTCCTATGAAAAGCCAACAAATTATTACTAGCCTGACATAGGCAACTTCGTCATATATCTCTTCCCGTTTCAATTTTGAGTATAAGGAATGTTAGGAAAATGCAGCACAAACAATACGCTTCAGAGTTTGAAATATATAAAAAAGTAACTGTTGTTAATTGCATGAAAGACAGTGCTGGAAGAAGACCTAGCAGCAAGTCTGCATCATTGTAAATTCTCATTTCAATGCAGACAGTTTTCAGCTAAGCTTGAAAACTTCAGTTCTCAAAGAAACCAGTACACAAAAATTAATCCAGAATCTGGCCACCTCCTCTTTAAATATTATTAATGCAGGGTCAAACCTTACCACGGATGTTTAAAGAAATCCCACTGGTTTAAATGTCCAGCTGTTAATAGTATAGTAAAAATTTTTCCGCGGTGCCAAAGTCAGTTCCATGGGGCTGGAGGAACTCAGTGTCCCCACAGCGGCTGCCAGGAGGTGCAGATTGGGTGCTTCTGTTGCTGGCAACATGCAAATACAAAGTCTTAATGTGATCTCACCTCTACAGCAATGGGAAAAGGGAAGTGGCCCAAACCTGAGATTTTCAGCACGCTCCATGGCATGCGGTGGCTACGTGTATTCCTTATATAGAAGGAGAATGTGCATAGTACTTTAGGTATCCTAAAAGTAGATTCATCTTCAGCCTTTGCTCTCCACCAAATACTCATCTGCAAAGCTTCCTTGCTTTCCTTATAAACAGCAATTTCCCTACGGAAATCTTCTAACTGAGCAGAGTTTAGAGCGGCTGTTTCCCACCTCCCTAAATCTGAGCATAGGGGTCTCTTGAAGGAAAATTGCTAAGAATTTCCAACTGGACTATGTAATCACAGCGCCTGGTATCAAGAGGAGGGGGAGTGACATGAAATCACTGACTTGTGACATACATTCCTCAGCAACAGCAGCTGCTGCCTAATGACAGCTAATAAAGGGAATCTTCCCTTGACAGAACCACATGCCTGCAGTGGGACTGGAATGTGCCCCAGATAAATCCCCTGATAACCCAGGAAGCAGAGATCACACCAAACCATATAAAAGACAAGCTTTGAAAGAGAGAGGATAGGAGAAAGAAGAGAGAGACCTGAAGAGCCATCTCAGAAGAAACAGCTTGAACCTCCCATATTCCCAACGAACCCAGCGCCATGGACACTAGAGGCTCATTTTCCTGTGGTTTCCTCTTGCTGCTTCTTGTCCAGCTGCAGCCCAGCAGGGCCAACCCCATCTACAACCTCAGCCCTGCCAAAGAACTGGCCAGCATGGAGGTGAGATGACCCTTTGCTTTTAAAAGGTTAAACTTCCTGGGGGTTTAGAAGTGTGTGCAACTGTGCTTTTGCCTTTCTTTTGTATGGTCAGATAGCTACGTTAGCGATTGCATGTAGTGGTCAAAGCCCCAGTTCTTCACAGGGTTCAAAGAAGCTTTGTAGGGCAATACCCTCTAGTGCTGGGATCACCCAAGCTGCTGGGTGGCAATGGGAAACAGAATTCCTATGCCGTGAGATGGCTGCTTTGGGTTTTCACCCTTCTCTTAAGCAATAGCCTCATTTTGAGTTTCTCAATGAATTACAGCAATATCCCGGAGAAAAAACATAGCAATGCATCATGGCATCCCAATAAAAACAACAGAAAACTTTCAAGTGAGCTTATCCCATTAAGAGGCAGGTATAGTGAGCCAGGACAGCCCTATTGCTTTGGGTTTGTGGATTTAAGAGAGAAGAGCTGCATGCAGATGGGAGGTGAAGAGGTAAAGCAGAGCACTCAAAGTCAATCTTCTAGAAGGTGTATTACTTGTGCAAACCGAGAGGAACAGAATGATCATGTAACTGTGACACAGCCAGAAAAGACTCTGGAGCTGTAAAATTACCACAGGCTTACTTTAATGAGCGAGACTTAGAGACTTATTACGATAGCTTGGGGAATGATAGAAACTCAAGATTCTGTCTTTAAAGACCAAACCTGACCACTGAAGCATTTCTTCGGACTGGCCCAGAAGCCAGCATCATAACCTGAGAACCAGCTCCCTAAAATGATTAGGACAGTGTCAGCCAAAGCTAAAACTGCCTCGTGCCCCCTGGCTCCTCTGTCTCCAGCTGAAAAGAGTGGCTTCCAAATGCATTCACCCTCAAGCAAACCATGAGGTTCACTCCTCTCTAGCCCACTTTCAGAGATGGGCAATTTGATTCTTCAATGATGATGAAGGATGAGCTGTCCTTGAGCAGGTTCCCTATTATTCAAAGCTTTAAAAATTATGGAGAATGTACCCAGAAGGTGAGATAGCAGACAACTTTTTCATATAGATATTTTTAAGGAGATGCACATTGCTTTAAGGAGCAGAAATCTTAGAATACCTAGGGTAGAGATTAGTGGAAAACACCGTGAGCTTCTCATAGTGATGTCCACTGCAGTAACTGGGGGTTAAAGATGAGCAGACTTTAGTCAAAATAAGAAGAGAGAGGCAACAGATGACCAGCAGCATTGCAGGCAACTTCTGAGAGCATGGGAGTCACTATGGGTTCGGAAGTACTTTGAAATCGTGGACTATTGCGGGGTTGAGAGGCATCTCTTGTTCTGTTTCTGTGCCAAAAGCTCTTCTATCCTTGCCAGTGGGACTGTGGCACTTCTTTGGCAGACAGCTTGTTACCTCTCAGCTACAGCTACAGATAGGTGGAATTAATGTAAACAGGGATTTAACACAGAGGACAGAGCTCACGAACCACCAGCATCTCTGGAATCCAACCAGGGAGTACTTAAAGGTGGTTGCAGAACCACAGACAAATTCAGAGTCAGATGAGTGGAAGAGCTAATAAACGCATGACACCAGGAGTCTTATGAAATGAATCCTTCTCTTATAGGCTCTTCTGGAGAGACTGGAGGATAAGTTTGCACTGATTGAAGCTCTGGAGTCCAATCCTGACCTGCAAGAGCCCCAAACCCAAGAGGAGATTCCACCAGAACTCATAGATGACAACGATGAGCAGAAGGCTGAACCCAATCTAAGATCCAACACTCCTCTGTCCTACAGGAACCCCTTCCTCAAGAGACTGAGGGGGGTGCAGATGCCCCGGATGATGAGAGATTCTGGCTGCTTTGGCAGAAGAATTGATAGGATTGGCTCCCTGAGTGGAATGGGTTGCAATGGTGAGTCCAACTTAAGCCATTCTGGTGAAAAGGCGGACTGCATTTATGTTTTTGCAGCAAGGGAGGAGCAAGGTTTCATTAAAATCTTTAACAATAAGAAATCATTAAACACTCTGAGTAAAAAGGAGCTCATTTTAGTCTAATCTTTAATTTTTTTCCAAATTTTTTCCAAAATAAACTTCACGTTTATTGATCAGAAAGCGCTGCTGGCAGTGGTGGCGTAGGTAGAAAGATTCCAGCACCACTTACTGTGTGTTCGGTTTGCAGGTTCCAGGAAGAATTAGGACCACTTCACCCTGAAGAATGCTTCGCAGAACCCGTTCCTCCCAAGATGAAAGCTCGTCAACAGAAAGTTATTCCTATTTTTATTTATTTATTTATTTATTTATTTGATCTCTCTCTCTCTCTCTCTCTCTTTTTCTTAATGACATTTCTTACTCTGGCACCGTGAGACCATCTTTAAATAAAACTAACACGTTAGATATCTATGCTGGAACCTCTCTCCTGTCTGTTGCATTAAAATTTCTTGTATTTTCCTAAAGTCAAAAGCCTACGTTTTATTGGTACTCTGGTACCCGCAAGGCTGGATCTCACTTACACAAGACCAAGAAAGTTTGAAGCTGGGAAAATGAGAATGAGTTTTTCCCTAGATTTTTGCTCTCTACACTAAGAAATTATAACAGATGAGCAGGAGAAAAAAAAAAAAAAAAAAGCTTGCTCAACACTGGAAGACCCACAACAGTAGATGTAGTTTCAGTAACAAGAAAGTCCTTTTGCTGATACAGATTACTCAGTCAACGCAGCTGCCACTCCACTGCCACAAATCCCTCATGTGAGCAAAATTTACAAGAAAAGAAGTAAAAATTGAAGCAAAACTCCACAAGTTAGAAGCTAATTAGAGGGAGGAAAGGGAATTCATTGTATATGCTTTCTAGCACTGACCAAATAAAGGCTATAAGCATCAACAGAAAGATACGTCATTGACTGTGTCTTGTCTCACTCTGCATGTGGTTGAGCTGCTGATGCTCAGTGCTTCTTGATGCTTCTCAGAGGGCATGAATGCTATCACAGTACTGAGGGCAGGTGGGATCACTTCAGTTACGAGCAGCTTGTGCATAACACTTATTCCTTTCTGGGAGTCACACAGTTCTGAACACGACTGACAGGAATACTACTCATTTAAACTTTTGTAGCTGGATCTCACACCTACAATCTGAATCCACATTCTCCCCATAGGTTTAGATTGCCAGAACCATTCACTTAGCATCCTAAAGATCCCCTTGGGATCAAAAGCATTGAACTCAGACTCTACACAACTATCCTGCGAGTCCGTGCACCACCAGAAACTGGGTTATGGTGAGGATCAAGTTAGGGTTTTGTTTCCAGCATTCATTACTGGAGCATCCAGGAAAGCTCATTCAGAGTGTAAGATCATAGCACGGAGGACTGAACTGGTGAAAGGGCACATACACCCATCAGTGAAGTCTATCCGAAGAGGAAGGATACTTGGGACAGGCAAGGTGCCAGTGCCATGCCAGTTGTTGACAACAGCTCTCAGAAACCACAGCTGTAGTGAACTTGGAGTGCTAACAACACGCCTGCATGCCTGACTTCCCACACGCTGCTATAAAAGGAGGTAAAACCAATCCTCATGCTGTAACACTAACGGCCCTTACTGGAGCTGAATTTTACCCAGTCAAGCAAAACTTGCATGGATGCATCAAGGCCCCGCAAATTATCCCTCCCTTTCAGCTCCCCAGGGCACAAAACACTCAAGAGCTCAGTGCTAAAAATGGCAAGAGTTGGCACTGCCTGACCCAAAGCCAGGGGGGTCCAGTATTAAGAGCAAGCCAGTTCCCGGTGGAACAGGTCTGTATTGGCTTGCAGACAGCATGTTAATAGACCCTGCAGCCTGGGAGAGCTTAATTGAGAGCTGGCAATTTAGGAAAAACGCATCTCTGTGGCTAGATTTTTAGTGCTACTCCCATAAACTGAGCTATAAACCTCCCCTGGGGAAATCGTGCAGACAGGTCAGAATAGGATTGAGTGCAGGAAAGAGCACTTGGAAAAGCTGAAACTCAGCACTGATCAGCTCTATGTGCAAAGAGCATCTCACCCAAGGAGAAGCAGAGCTACCACAGCACAGAAGAGGGAACAGACAGTCCCAAACAAGCATAAGACAAAAGCAACCCACTCCGTATGGAGAAAGCAAGGGCACCTGAAAGCTGAACTCCTCTTCCCAGCAACCTGTGGTTGGGCTCATGGCTCAAACATCCAAAGGAGGGTCCTGTTTTCCTGTATGCAACAGGAGGTGCTAAATCCACACGGCAGTATTTCCCCTTCGTGCAGACAGAAGCTGACACCTGATGACTCTTTATTCCTTTCTGCTGTTTTCATTGCAGTAATTTGCACAGCTGCACGTGCCAGCCATGAAAGGATGCAGCGATTCCTTCTAACTGGGATGTGCTCTCTTACAGCAGCAGTCAATCTTGCATGAATCCACATCTAAACATGAGGAGGCTTTCTTCAGGTTTGTAGAGGATTTGCCTTTCAGTGCCTGTGCATTTTGGAAACTAATCCTGGCAGAACTTTTTGGAGACAAAGAAGGAACTGCACAAGAGAAGAAATAAGCAACACCAGTGTGCTGTGAGAGCATGAACCAAAGATTAATGTATTCTTACTGTCTTCACACCTACAGACACATGCCTTCCAGAGAAACTGCCCCTAAGGGAAGGCAAGGTTTGCAGAAGGTACTGGTAACAGTGTAGGAAATAGGCCAGCGGCCACACACCCAAGCACTTCAGTTTTGCTCTAGCAGCTGTGCTATGAGTCAGAGCTGAGACAAGGAGCCAGCATACCTTGTAATGGTAAACAATTCAGAAATAGGATGCCTCTGGGACAAGCTATTGCAGCAAAGCAAGAGCCGATGGCAAACACAGATAACAGCGACTACTTTACAAGCAACTGTTCAGCACCGAGCTCAGGACAGCTCTGAAATTCAGCCCTCCTCCATGCTGCTGGGCGTCGGAGCTCTTCACAAACCTTCACCAACGGCACAGTAGATGATGCACAGTGCAGAAAATGTACCCAAGTGCTACCGTGCAAAGGAAGGAACATCCCAGTGAGATCAGAGGAGGACCAGCCCAGCACTCTCTGCCAGGCTCCAGTGACATTTGCCACCTCCTGCAACGCCACACTTCATCCTTTCTTTGTAACAGCTTCTGGCAGTAACCCTGACCGGTGGTACATTATTGAGCAGTTTTCTTTCCTTTGAACTTGGAAATGCAGTAATGATACGGGTGTGCTTCATGCACACCATACAGCCTCATTTGGGAAAGCAGTTCAGTTGGTCTGGGGTTCTTACACTCACACTTTTCGATCATGAAGCCTCAAAATGAACTGAGCGTGCCCTGCAGCAGGTGTCCCAGGACCGTCATTCCCTGCTAGGGTTGTACCATTGCCATTCCAGTGAGAGCTAGAGGACAACCAACTTTAAACCTTCTGCTGCCTCCAATGCCCAATCCTTCAACAGAGCGAGAGAAAGAACACAACGGGCTTCGTTCTTTAAGTGCTATTCCAGCCATCAGCACAAGTAGAAAGAGGTGGGGGTCTCAAGATTACAGCCTCACAGTAAGGGGAAGGAAGAAAAAACATGAACAAAACAAGGCAGGAAGAAGCTTTAAGGTCCAGAAAGGAGCTCTCACACACCATTGCTGGCCCTCAGAAACTGCTGCCATCTTGGCTTCTTTTTACTGATCACTTGTAATAACCATTCGAGCCCTCTCCTCCTGTCATCCTATCTGAACAAAATGAAAGGAACTGGTGCACTGAATCTGAAGTCACAGGCACAGCTGCCCCCCTCCCAGCAGTACAACTCATTATGAACAAAAGGCTGTATCACACATAAATTCTGTTTTCCTCACAGCAGATTCTATCACCAAGTGATATTTCCGAAGAAAGCAGCAGCTTACAGCTGTAATCAGAGTTTGGGGTTTTTTATGTGCAAAGAAAGCATTTGTCAGACCCTCCCTTCCTATCTCCCACTTGATGTCTCAGAGAACCAGCAAAATCCTGCATAGAAAAAGAAGCAGAGTTGTGAGGAGAGGGAATTTCTTTTATTCTTTAAAGACAAAGTACTGAGAAAGGCTTTTTATGTTGGGAATCGGGAAGGAAAAAAAAGAAAGATCAGATCAATGTGTAAAGCTGGGCATCTCACAGAGATGCTCTCAGGTATAAGCAGCAAGGAGATGCTGGGTGAGTCAGCAAGGCTCTCTGTGCTGTCTTGCCTTCTCTGTTACAGCTGTGAGATCTTCAGCACAGTGCTGTTTCCTACATTCACCTACGCAAGTGGGTACCAGGCTCCTTGACTCATCCTTTTCTTTCTGTAGCTCTGCAATAGCCTGGAGAAGGGGACACCTTGATCATACGTACAGCAACCTCTAAATCTCATTGAAACTGATAAACCAATACCCCTCACTCCTGAGATGGTGAAGGGGGGCAACTTGCTGCCAGCTCATTGCAGCTGTGAAAGAACTCTTACACACTACAGTGGATGCTACATAGGCTGAGTGCATCCCAGCACACTGCTGAAACACACTTCAGAAACTTGGACAAGAAGGTTCATCCTCTCATCAAATGCAATGAAAGCCTGGGGTGGCCATCCTGTTTCTTTCTATGTATGCACTGCATGACACACAGCTGTACATGTATACAAACCTGCTGAAGATGGTGGTTCGTATGTTGCCAGCAAAGAAATTGAGCAACACTGACTTCTGTTACATAGACAGGGACTGTAACACATGGTTTAATTGATGAGCCTATAAATCTTGGTAAAAAGGGACTTAAAGCTAAATATGAAGCGGCTTGCTTTAAGCATGAACTTATTGCACAGCTTTTCTCATAACCACCTCTATCACCCCTGATAAAACAAATAACAGGTGCTGTTCTTCAAGCAAGAAACATCACTGCTTGTATCTTCTGCAAGAAGGTTGATATCACACCAAACCGACAAGCTGCTCCTGAAAACGTGACCAGAAGTCTCTTTGTGTGTTTGCTCTGGGAGAGAAAGTAGACAAATGAGTGGCAGCCTGTTACCTCCTTTATTACTGCTATACTAAGGCAGTATTGATGTGCATGGGTTTTA